ACCTGCCCGACCGGGCCCGGTCGGGCAGGTAAACAATGTCTTTATTTTTTATAGGGCCATTTATTCGAAATATTCTGAAAATAAATGAAGAAATATAGCATTTTAAAACACGTAAAGAGAGAATAAATCCTCAAAATGTCCCCCTCCCTCCCGCTGTAGAAAAGTTACGTCTTGCTGTCGTGTCGCGGGATCACTTCCTCCCTCCTTCCTGCTGCACGTCGCGCAGAGCGAAGCTTTAACAACCGTAGTTTTTTCACACCCATGTTTTCGGAGAAAAAAAAGTTTTTATGTATTGTTACATTATTTTGTTTTATTTTTTAATTTGGAGATCTTTCCAGCGTGTGCTTGTTTGTGTGTTGAAGTTGATTTTTGAAAAATAAGGGGCAAATACGATAGTTTTTTCTTCACTCTGCACCCTTTCAATTCAGGGTACAGATGTGCAGTAAAAGAAAAAAGTCAATAAGCAAAGTTTGTACATTATCAGCTGAGCTGTGAGGAAAAAAAATACCATCAAATACCGTGAAACCGGTGTAATTGTTGTGATATAAAATTTGGGTCGTACCGCCCAGCTCTAGTTGCCTCACTGGGTTCACGTTGTGCCTGGGGTAGGGTTGGGCAATATCGGCAAAAAATTAATCACGATTAATTGTGGTGTTTAGCCGATAACAATTAATTTGACGATTAATCCCCTGGAGTTCCTGGACACCCTTACGTCCTGGTCACATGACCAACTTAGTGGGAAAGATTTGCTCTTCGTAAAAATCTGTTCCAAATTATGTCAAAATTACAGACTTCAGGCTATACATCTGATTTTAAATTGTGATAGATAAATTACAGAACATTTTTTATCATATTTGAAGCAGAGAGGAGCAGCAAGCGGACTCTGCCTGGTGGTATTAATCGTATTAATCGTCAAGTGCCAAAAAATAATCGATTGTTTTTCTGACGATTAATTGCACACGATACGATTGTGCCCAACCCTAGCCTGGGGGTCTTCCTTTGTGGCGTTTGCACGTTCAGGCTTCCTCCCACAGTCCAAAAACATTCACACTATGCTGTCTAGAGGCCAAGACCTCTCCTAAAAACGCGCTCTGTGGTCTCAGGATTTACTTGGTTAAATAAATAAAAGGTTCAATAAATGAGAGTSCTCTGCAAAACTCACAAGACTTTCTGTTTTCACCAACTCAGCTCAATAAGATCACATCTTTTCAGGTACTGACTAATTTAGCCAGTAGAAATATTTGTTTTTATTAAGTCCTACACTTCATTAGTAAAAGTGACTTAATTAAAGCACTGCTGCTTAATTTGTTGCAGTTATTACTGGTCACACAGACAGGCAGCTGTTGTAAGGAAAAGGCCAGTTTCTGCACTGGCTGCCATCATTTGTGCCTTACCCAGCTGTAAACATTTACACCCAACCATTTGCAAACATTATAAGCTTTTATTTATTTTCACAGAGGATCAAACAACCTCTCAGTCTGCATGTTAGCTAGCTAACACTGACATAAACTGATACACTGTTACGTGTTTAAATGTCAGTAATGGTAATTGCAGATCTTTTTCATAATAAACAGCTGAACTTGCTAATTAGCTAGCTAATAAAATGCTGTCATTCTTGTCGCACACAAACACAATTAATACCCTCATTGTGTACAATAACAGATATTTAGTWAAAATTGTGTGTATTAAATGTGTAAATAACTATAAAGTTGTGTTTTTAGATATTTACGACTGTAAAAGGCGGCAGCTAGCAGTTAGCTACTGATGTAAAATAAAACCACACGATGCTAACTTGTAAATATTTAACTTATTTATATATTTATTCAACACAACAGCTCATCAGATTAATAGTCAAGGCCTTGTGAAGTTGTGTACATTACAGTGAAATCAGGTCATTTCTAACGGAGTTTCTCAGTAATAATTGGCTCCACTCACGCACACGGACTGAGTGACCACGCTGCCCACAGCCTGACTTTCAGCCTTCCTAACCCCGGTGTGTCGTTCCTAACCCCGGTGTGTCGGCTGTTCTGTCGCCCAGCGGAGGCCCCGGAGCGCCGCGGCCTCCCGTGCCGCTCCGTGCGGCTCTCTGCCTTACCTCTGTGGGCTGGCTGATCTCGAACAGGTCGAGCCGGTTGGCGTTCCAGTGGTTGATGATGTCGGCCAGTTTCCTCCTCTCCTCCTCCCTGCTCCCCGACATTGTTGTGGACAAGCCTTATTTTCTCTCCTCCCTCCCCGGAGCCTCGATGTGCGTCGGTACCGTTCAGTAAAAGTTTCCCTTCGCGTTAAGTCCAAAAGAGACGGAACCCGCCGCCGGAACCGAATTGTTCGAGTCTCCTATGTTGTTTTTACAGCCAGTACTCGGTGCGGTCCGTATCCCGGCTCACAGACTCGACCTGCTGTCTGATCTGTTCCTGCGTAGCGTTCACGATGCGCCCGTGCGCGCTCCCGGGAGGAGGAAAGCTCCGAGAACGCGCAACACAAATTAACCGTTTCGTGTCCGATGAAATTTAAATCATGACGTCGCTGTTTTAAAAGGCAGGCACGTGAGGGTTTGAGTAGGTTACGTCACTG